GTTCAGTATTTGTTCAAATCAAACGCGTATAATGAGTGGTGGTGGATTGCAGGTGAATAGTACGTAGTGTCCGCTTGAAATCACATTATTTACAGGGTTCTGACGCAGGCAATCGGCTACATAGATTATCGTTCTTTGAAGTTTTGAGCTAGTCGTTGAACGTTAACCAATAAATTATTCTCATCAATTCTATTTCGAGTTACACTTTTATTTATGATTTCAACAATGAATTTGTGCATTGTTGATTGAATATTAGTGGAATGCAGCTGAGTGGTTGTTCATGTGCCGTATTTGGATTTGCGTAATTCTTGTCGTGAACATGGAATTTTCAACATTTTGACATTTTTAACGTTTTGTTCTCTGAACACCTTTAGGCATTTATCACTATTGTCATCATTTACGTCATTGATATTACGTTATCGTGGTTTTGTTTCCGATTGCTCGAAATGTGCTGCTGTTTCCAATGAACTGCGATTGAATTGTAGTCTTATGAATCTTTTTTTTTCAGAATATTATCAAGCAAAATCATTTGGCAATATTGGTGAGAGAATTACTTTCCTAAAGACAATATTACTGTTAGAATCAACCAAAGCCATCCGAAGAAGGTGATCATCTTCAAGAAGAAGGATTGCATGGATAATGCAACACAAGCGACACAAGCACACGGTCTGACCGCAGCCGATGTGTTCGGAGCGGCCGCAGCCGCCGCCTCAAATCTTCATATGGGTCTTTCAGCCGGCACAATGATGCTTCCTACCGTAGCGTTCACGTCATCCGGTGCACAGTCACAATTGAGCCAATCAGGAAACGCTCTCTCTAGTGCAGTCTCTGCGACCCCTTCAATACCGTACTTCTCGTGGCCACCTCAACAACCAATCATTAACATTCCCTTCTTTGATGCGAATCTTTATAAAACCGTGAATTTGGATGCACAACCGTCCTGCTTACCCAACGGAATGGATCTACCCCTAAACGATATTACCACATTGAGGTGCACTTTATGAATATCGCATTTATATCGATGCACATTTTATGTTTCAACGCTGTATTGCCATTGAATCTCTTGGAAAGGCCACGCACATTTACATCTAACCCTGAAATGTTTTGAGTCGATTTTCCAGTTGCTTTCATCCAATCTTTCTATGCTGTTA